ATATATTTTATGTACTTGTAAAATCCATTGGCAGTGAATTTTCTGGTTAATTGGTTTCATCTTATTAAACTAAAAACCTATTTGTAAAAGCCAGACCTTTCTGAGCACAAGTCTGATCCCTGCACCAAAAGCCAGTGCAGCATTTTGCAGACAGAAAGCTAAGCACCGCAAGCCAGGTTCTATTAGTCTAAAAGCACAGCATTTGCCACATAGAAGAGAAATGGAATGGAAAGCTTGATTTTTGTAAAACACACTGTGAAAATAATCTCGTTAATCCATTTCCCCCCAAATTGCAGGACTTTCTCTCAAACAAAGTCGGCTGAAGGAATCTTGATAAACATTTCAGTACAATAATTCGATGACATATAGATCAATCTTTTGGTATCTTTCCCTGCACATGTCACGTTCAATTTCTTCTCCCCATTAAGCTACTCTCGTTCATTAAATAGTTCCTCTGTCTAACTTGCCAAGGAACTGCCAATGGGCCCCTCATCTTACAGAAGAATAGGCCCAGTTTTACCAATGGGAAAGGGCCTCTAATGTACCATGGACAGAGTACAGTGAAGCATGGTAATTTGCCTGCGTTAATGATGCTGCTCCACACTGACCAGTGAAAACAAAATCTTTAACAGCTAAATGACACCCGGTTCTTCTTGTAACCTGTTGAATCTGAAAATGGGGGAAGCAAAAATCTGTGTCCCTTGGGAGGTGGAATCCAAGGGCTGAAATGTCCTTTTTCCCCAGGTATGGCTGGAAACAATGGCAAAAAAGAAAAAAACCTCACTGTTCAAACATGTCATTGAAATCAATGGACATTAAGGTTCTGGATAAATAAACAGATGTGTGTGTTCTCTTAATTTAGAGCAACTGTACCTTGATTTCCCCTTTGTTATCCAGCAAGGGCATCCATTCACAGGCTTCCAGCTTCCCAGTCATTGCCTCTCTTGGGTGAAGATCTGTGTCTCACACTCCCTTCTGACCAGCGTACAGCCAGGCTGCATAGCTCCCTGACTCCACTGTGTGTTTCCCAACAAAGGCAGTGTGCCTACCTTAAACAGACCTGCTTGCTGCTGCTTCTGAGACTGACAGAGTGATTACTACAAATATAAAAGTTACCACACTGTTTTAAGCAAGCCTAATTGCTTAAGCATTACAGAGAAAATAAAAGAACCTACATTCATGCCAATAAGCTTGTCAGAGTTCACCCTATCATGGATTCTGGCAGGCTCTATCTTTCCAAGTCTATCCTAAGGATTGGGGCGCTCCATGGACCAGCTGATCCTGTCCCTGGTCTAGATAAGGAAGAAATCCCTGAGTCCATCTAAACCCAGGTTGTCTATCCAAAAGTCTTTTCTTGGTCTATTGATTTCTGTAAAATCCACTTTGAGTATGTGCATTTCTCCCAGGGCGGGGGGTGACAACAGGGCTGATAAAGTTCATTGGCATATTCTTCCACTCAACTCTGCACTAATTAGGCCTCAATTGGAGTATTGTGTCCAATTCGGGCATCGCATTTCAGGAAAGATGTGGAGAAATTGGAGAAGGTTCAGAGAAGAGCCACGAAAATGATTAAAGGTCTAGAAAACATGACCTATGAGGGAAGACTGACAGAATTGGGTTTGTTTAGTCTGGAAAAGAGAAGACTGACAGAACATGATAGCAGCTTTCAAGTATAAAAGACTGTTACAAGGAGGAAGGAGAAAAATGGTTCTCCTTAACTTCTGATGATAGTTCAAGCAGCAATGGGCTTATATTGAAGCAAGGGAGGTTTAGTTTGGACATTAGGAAAAGCTTTCTGTCGGGGTAGTTAAGCACTGGAATAAATTGCTTAGGGAGACTGTAGAATTTCCACCACAGGAGATATTTAAGAGCAGGTTAGATAGACACTTGTTAGAGATGATCTAGACTATGCTCGGTCCTGAAAGGAGGGCAGGGGACTGGACTTGATAACTCCTCAAGGTCCCTTCCAGTTCTAGTGTTCTAGGATTCTATCATTATGAACCCATCCCTGAAGCTTTCCCAGTTCACCAAAGCACCTAACACACATGAATTCCAGCCTGAGTGCAAACTCGGAAGTGCGGAGAACCTTCAACCCATATTGCACAGTCCATATTTCTCATTATCAGGTTCTCCGGGCTGCTTGACAGTAAAAGACGACTTGATAGAGGCAATCTTTGAATGAAATCAGAGGAGAATTGCGGTCAGTGGGCCAAATTCTGCTCTCAGGGATGCCTGGGTAAATCCAGTATGACACCACTGACCTGGACCGAATTAATCTGATGTAAACCTCAAGAAGCTATGAGCTAAGTGGATGCAATGTGTTTGGGACTATTTAGGGACAATGATTGGAGATGGGAGGTCACAAACAAAATTTCGTTTACAGTTTAGCAAGACTGGGAGGTAGGGTTTACATAAGTAGCAGTCAATTTTTGGTCAAGGTTCAGATTCCAGAGAAAATACTATGAAAATAATAAAAAGTAAATAAAAAGATTGTGCAGTCCACTGAAAAGTATCGAGATTTGGCCAGAGGTTTGCTATTGACTACCCCTGGTTTATACTAATCAAGGGAAAATTTGCTGGTGTTTCCCTTATAGAAACCCTTATTTTCAGGGAATTATAATTTTTCAAAAATTCATTGGACATGGTTTTTAAAACTTCACAGAAGTCTAACTTTAGTCCAGATTTTCATAATATAACAAACTTGTCTACATGGCCACTAAAGTTGATTAAACTTATGTCACACGGGTATGAAAAAACCACCCCTCTGAGCCACCCAAGTTATTTTGACTTAAAGCAATGTCTACACTGCATTATGTCTGCTGAAGAATCTCTCCTGCTACCATGTCTTCTGTCTCTCGTGGAAGAGGAATAATTATGTCGGCGGGAGAGCACTCTCCTGTCGACCTAGTACATCTGGTGAAGACACACTACATCGCTGCAGCAGCGCCAACATAGCTGTGATACTGAATAAAGCCCAACAATAAAAGGTCAGCAAGAGAGATCAAGAATATGCATTTTAGGACTTATCCCCAGATCAGCACTAAGGAGAAGTGTCAGAGTACAGAAAACAAATACCACATACAGCATGTTAAAAATCCCCTAAAGTGTGGTATTCTTAGCCTTTTTTGGATGATCTGAAATATCTGACAACATAAAAAGCTCCCTAATATATTTTACACAGTTGGCTCAGCAACCTACTTGTAGAAAGTTGTTACAATGCTGATGGTAAGATTGTATGAGGAGCAGACATTTTGGTTTCCCCCTTTGAACGCTGTCTGAGTTACACTAAAGAAATGAATCCTTAGGTTTCTTGAATGAATTTTGGCTTTGCCCTCCTCATTTGTGTCCCATATTTGGCCTGTGGCAATTAAGAGTATAACTGTCGCTAGGAATATCTCTGTACGTAACCATATAACTTTGGACGAGTCTGAAATAGATCCCATGCTTCACTACTCATTGACGCAAACTCTGATTGCAGTCAAATCCCAAAGCACAAAGACTTCAAGGTCTGACCCACTAGTTATTAGTCCATTCTGAATCTGGGCTCCAATCTTTCTCTTAATGAAAGCAGTTGAGGTTCTATGCAAGATAGGGCTTTGGCTTGTGAGTTTGCAAAATCCATTATCTACTTTTTAATGTAAGTGGCTGATCAGATTTTCACTGCAACTGCTAGAGACGGAGTAGAAACATGAATAACACAGAGGAACCTATAAAATTAATCACACCATTTTTTCTTAGTATCCCCTTACTGTAATGGCTTTTTCTCAATCTCTTTTATATTTGACGTCCTTGAGAAAAATGGCCTTCCCCTACTGATTATTTCAAAAATTACAATTTTTAATGGCCAGTGATTTAGTTAGCCAATAACATCTGACGAAAGCCATCAACAATGACTGAAGTAAAGGCTGGAAATGGTTTTGTCTTTATTATAAGTCGTTTGGGTGCTGAGTTTTCCTCTGAATTAAATGAAGGTTGAATAAACCAGCAAATGAGTTGAAAAGATGGCATAACATAAATCTGAGGATTTACTGAAAGATTTCCTGAAATTCACAGTTAATTATTTGATTCTCCCATAAAAATTAGAAATGGGACCAACCAATAAATAACAGTATTACATTTCCTTTTTTAAACTTTCTCCAACCCAGGGCTAACAAATCTAACCAGGTTTATGCCAGACAAACAAAGGTGATAGTAAGTGGATCCGCCCTGGTGCGTTGCTCTGGCAAGAGCTGGCCGAGCTGTGGCAAAAGTCAGCGGGGAGCTATTTAAAGAGCTGCCAGACCAAGGTTGCGATAGGACAGTAACTTAAAATTTCTTACAGATACTTTCACCGCTGCAGACAAGGCAAAGAAAGCTTGTAGAGGCTACTTTTGGGTGTAATGAAAATTTTAGGCTAATTGGAAGAAAATGTATTCTCCAAAGTATAAATAGTGAAAGGTTGAAAATGTTTTACTTTTTGGGAAGAAAAGCCTTCACGGAGCCCCAATTCTGACACAAAAGTCCGACAAAACATATTCAGGGCTGGAATGAACACAAAGTCAAATTCATTCCTGATGTAGCACCACTTAAAGTAAGTCCCCTAAACTTGGCACTCTAAGACAGAAGCAGAAGGCAGCCCAGTACTGTTTGCTTGTTCTATGCCTCGGTATTGCATGACAAATTTTGGCAACGTGTCAATGCCTTTTATGTGCTGCTTGTAAGTATTAGTGCTGTTTTTATTTTTATAATTCTCTGCCCTTTCGTGCAGTAATGACGGGCCCATGGGGCATTTCACATCGAAGCTAAACAAACCATTTTTGGAATTCTTACTCAAGAGAATCTGTGAAAGCAAATCTGTGAAATCAAAGTGTCTCAGACTGCACCTTCCATTTTGGAACCATATGATCTTAGTCATTTCCTTCCAAGCTTTCTGCATAAAAGAATTCAGAAACAGAAGGCAGTTTTAGCAAAGGACTATGGGATGGAGTTACCATGGCTGAAACAAAGTCTTAAATACTTACTGCCTCTGCATCACTGGTGTGTCATATTCAAAGTCACACTTGGGGAAATATCCTGTAGTAACCTGAGGAAACAGTAAAGAAAGTGATAAGTAGGAGGCAGACACATCTCAGCAGCATAGAGCAGAGACCAACTACCCCACCCCCCAAAAAAGCTTTACCATTATTTTAAAATATTTTAAAATAATGTTTATATTTTGAACTTCAAATTAAATATAGAGAAGGGCTAATCTTACAAAAATGATTCCGTCAATGTTCATTTCTATGTGGCTTCAGGATTTGTGTGCACTCCACTTTTTCATTTGCTTTCTACATTTACCCTATTTCTAGATTTAGAAATTTTGCAGAAACAGTAATTTTCAAACCAGCACCGTCTTGGTTAATTATATGGCCCCTATTTCTGGAATATCCGAGTACCACCCAATCTTTAAAGCATTCATTCTCACAGACTCCCTATGAGGAAGGGCAGGGGGCTACCTGTAACTACCTTTTTACAGATGGGAAACAGAGTCTTAGGGACTTGCCCTGGTCTTAAGGGAGATCTGCGGTTGAATCCAGGTCTGGAAGACCACTAACCACTGGCCCATCCTTTTTATTGTTGAAATGCTGGAGAACATTGTGAAAAGCAAATTTGTAAACAAGCACATGTGCCCCAAATATCTATTTCTTAAGGGTTATCATCGCCCATTCCAGAAGCAGAATCATGTGTCTCAAACCTGAACAAACCAACACAGCCTGCATTTAGAATTCCATGGAAGTCTCACAATGGGTTTGCAGACATAGAGAAACTCTAACTGCTTGATGGCAGTGAAAAGGCAAGAGCAAGCTATCCACAGTATAAAATTTGAATTGTGGTCATGTCAGAAAGCTTCAAACCATTTGCATCCCCTTATGTGAAGTGCTATACAAACATAATAAACAACAGTCTTGGCCCCAAGGCGCTTACAGTGTAACAATAGAGTATGGATAGATAAACGAGCAGACAGGCAGGAGCACAGCAATAAGAAAAAGCTGTTTTTGCAGTGACTGGATGTGTGAGCAATTTTTAGCCAAACCATGGTGTGTTCCTATGTCCACAGCCAGCCTACCCAATCTCTCCACATCCTCAACACCTGCCTGCCCCCTCCGTCCTCAAATGCTTCCGTGTTAGAGCAATGTTACATAGTCTTCCTTGCCAGCTCATTAGACTAAAATACACAAAAGTCAGCTCAAGACTTTTAACTCAATATGGGGAAGGGAGGCTGTCTAGGAGGCATACTGTAGCTCAACCACCAGCTATTGGGTTCAAAGCAGAGATCGTCAAGGGGATTTTTATGGCCACTGTGACGTAGGAGGTCAGAGCAGGCAAACTCATGAGCCTGTAAACTAACTGACGTGTGTTTGGAAGCCATGATGTGTTTACCTAACAGCACTTTACAAAGTTAGCTGAAGCACGAAGCTGTTCTCATCTCTCAGTTAAAAAAAATTAGAAAATCCCACCTATGAATCATTTTAAGTCAGTCAGATTCTTTGGCTGCTCTGTTCTCATTAATTTTAACAGAAACTGGGATTCAAGTAGCTTTGAAAAATCTCACCCTCCATGTTTTGTACAACCAAGAGACAAATTCTTTTGAAGAATTCAGGAAATTCTAAGCTAGGTATTACAGTGAGCAAGCATGAAGAAGGGACTGTCAGAACTGTTAACAAATCTAACTCTATGCAAAATAAGGGCCAGAGTTCCACCTTGAACATGATTACATGCCAGCTGCCACCTTGGCCAAAACACCAGGGCTTGAACCAGGAACCCCCAGAATCAAAAGATTCATATTTTCGGCAGATCTGGCACAAAGGAGGACTTGTACTGAACACTCGCCTATGGGTTACCTAGGCAGATCCCATAGGCCTTAGTGACAGTTAAGTGCTACCCTGGGAAGAATATTACACTGAAAATCACCATTCAAAGAGCAACAAGTGGTGTAGAGATCTGGGAGTCCGGTGACACAGGTTACACTCCCAACTCTGCCATAAACTTGCTGTGTCATCCCATGAAAAATGGCTCCTTTGGTTTCCTACATGTTTAAAAAAGATCATGATACTTGTACACCTTTGTGAAGCATTTTAAGAGCTTCAGCAAGCACCATGAAAGTCTATATAATGATGGAGTTTTTGCATTAGAGTAAATATACTTAACTATGGATATGGTTCTCAACAGGATAGCATCTCAGCACCTCACAATTCATAGTGGATTTTAGCCATCCCATCAACCCCTGGGAGGTAGGCAAGTACTTTCCCAGATTTACAGGGCAAATAAAATGCCTTGCCCAAAGTCACACAGGAAATCTATAGCTGAGCTGGAACCTGAACCCAGATCTCTCAATTTCACATTCACTGTCCTATTTTCTAACCCCTCCTGCCATAATCCTCAGCTCCCTTTGAAGCTGCCAATGAGAGTGAAAAGAATGAAGACAAACCCAAAAGGTGCATGCAGTGGCTCTGATCACTTTGCACTAAGGATGTTAAATATTGACTAATTGACTAATCAATCTAGTTGATTAGTCGATAAGGTGCCTCTGCCTTTGAAGTGTAGCATAGTGTACACTTCGAAGGCAAAAGCGCCAAGTGGATCCTGGGGCCAACCCCAGGCTCCATGCGGCGCTGCCCCTTTGAAACACCATGGGAAGCCCGGCATCTGACTAGGGTTCAAACTAGGGTGGTTCATGTAGGTGGTTCATGTAGGGTTCAAACTAGGGTGGTTAATGTAGGCAACCGGAGTTGCAAATGAAGCCCGGGATTTGAATTTCCCAGGCTTCATTTGCATATTGCCGTGCGCTGCCATTTTTAAATATCCGCTAGTTCGGACTCCGTGCCCGTGGCTACACGCAGCACGAACTAGGTAGTTCGGATTAGGCTTCCTATTCCGAACTACCGTTACTCCTCGTGGAATGAGGTGTACTGGTAATTCGGAATAGGAAGTGTAATCCGAACTACCTAGTTCATGCCGCGTGTAGCCGCGGGCACGGAGTCCAAACTAGCAGACATTTTAAAATGGCGGCGCCCGGCAATATGCAAATGAAGACCGGGAAATTCAAATCCCGGGCTTCATTTGCAACTCCGGTTGCCTACATTAACCACCCTAGTTCGAACTAGGGTGGTAGTGTAGACATACCCAGAAGTACTTGAGGAAAATACAAAGGTGAGTTGCCATTCCAGACACTGTCATGTGCAGTAAGAAGGAACTGAGGGGGTGTGAGAGCCCTTTAAATCAGCATTATGAGAGAGTAACTCCAAGGGCACCAGCGCAGACCCGACGAAGGAAATTTCCCTGTGACAGTACTTGGGGCAAGCACATACCTACATTGGTATGGACATGAGCAAGCATGTGAAAAACAGCCACATACAAGATAGAGACTAAAGGTGCTAATCACATAGTGCCTCTCCTACCCAGCTATACAAGGGAGTACCGATTCTACCATGCCTTGCAGAGCTATTCAGGACCCATCATAGTTGCAGCACCAGTGCTTAAGGAAGCTTAGGGCCTAGTCCCGCCAGAGCAATGGGACAAGAAATACACAGAAAGGAGCAAAAAGTAACAAGAGCCACAGCCAGTAGAGCTGCAGGTCACACATGTGGAAACAAGGGTGGATGGTGCTGCATGATATAAACAGGTGTCACAAATGACTCTGCCCAACCAATGCAAGCGGGGAGCTCAGACAAGGTTGTACCGATCCACGGCACTATTCCTTCTGATGCTTCCCCGGAAGAGTGCCATGAAGTGCCATCCTTTCCTGTGGGCTGGATGCAAAGAGCACAAACCAACTCGCCATTTCAACCAATGAATATCTGTTTTTCTTAAAAAAACAATGAACTGGTCAAAGAGCATCTGATTTTTAAAAGCACCAACATCCAAGCGTACACAGGAAGCAGAGTCTCTTTGTGAGCTTTTCTTCAATTCTCATGAATTGGGTGGACATCCCTGCATAAAACATGAGATAAGAAGAGGCTTGTTTTCTAGCCTGCATATCTGAGATGGTTCCTTAGATACCAGAGAAAGCCTGAAGGCAGGTCTTGGCTCCCAATCCTTTTCTTTTAAACATTTTCAGAAAGCTAAAGATGCCTTTGACATAAAACTGATGAGAAACAGGGATGTTATCTATATCACTCAGGGTAACATGCCAAACCATCTGGAAAGACCATCATATTAAAAAAAAAAAACCTCCTGTTTGCTACTGATTATGCAACCGAATTAAAACTGATTAAATGACTGACTGGGATCCAAGATTGTTTATCTGCACATAAATCACACACACTATACTCAGCCAGTATGGATTTGGCAGCCTTGGGAAGAGCCCACCTCTTCGGCAAACTGATTATTGCTGCAATTAAAAGATCAATAAAGTAAATGTCTTTGGGACAGAGATGTCAGGGGTTCCTGAAGCTATGCATCTATGAAATATGAATTCAAATAGGCTCCCAATTCAAGTTTTGAAAACAGCTCCTGATAGAGCATGAATTTGTTCCTTCTGGTGGGTGCGTGATGTTAGAAAAAAATCAAAACCGAGGGAAGGATAGGCACAAATTAAGTAGTCAGACATGCCGAAGGGATGGCAGATACATATCTCATGAATGCAAGAGAATTAAAAAATAAAATAGGTGTCCTGTCAAATCAGACATGGTGTTAATAGCTAATGACTATGACATTACAAACTGCAGTTTTCATAGCTATTAATCTAAACTGAAAATTGGTAGCAGACTGCAGCAAAGAAAAATAAATCACACTTTGTTCAATTTGAAGATGTATATGTCAAATAACTCCCATCCCCACCCTTCTCCCTAGGCAGAACTCTCTACCCTGTCAAACAGTTCCACAATGAATGTGACATTTTCAAAGCACAGAACTCCCAGATGAAGTGAAAAGTGACATGATTTCATACTACTGAACACAACTAATCTACTTGGGGGGGGAGGGGAGGGTGAAACCCACAATGGTTGTATCTATCTAAAGCACGAGCTATGAGATGCATTTCCAATCCTGAGAAACTATTTAGCATGGGAAGTGGCCAGAGGTGGGGGTGGGAAGGATGGAGAG